GGGTCTGGCTGCAGCTGCTAGCACCCAGCAGTCATCTTTAAAAGGCAGGCCTGCTCCCTGGGCTGTCTCTTTCAGCACATGGAAGTTTTGTTCATGCCCACTCTGCCTCCATATGATATGGCTGCTCTGGCCCCTTACCCTGGTAGTGATGACCAGCATCCTGCGATCCTGCTGGCCATCGCTCCTGCGCTGCTGGCCTGCCGCACCAACCACCACCTGATCCATGTCCGACTCACCCCGCTCAGTTCCCCGACAAACAGTAACTGCCTACCTGTCTGCAGTGCACTGTCCCAGTGCCACCACTGCTACCACACAGCTGCTGCCGCCACGGATGCCAACAAGGGGCTCCAGGATGCCACTGCCAAGGCTGCTGTCATCCTCCTGGTCCTCCAGCCCCACAGCTTTTGGGCCTGTGGCTCCTGCCAGCACAGGTGGCTGCACCTTGTCCAGCAGACCTGGGACAATGAACACAGACACATTCTGGACACATTCTGGATGACCTGGGCCACCTTTGGGGACCTGCTTCAGCAGCTCCAGCCCCACCTGGAGCAGCAGGACATCAGCATGCACCTGAATGGCCCTCACACTGCTGAAGCTGGCCACACCTACAAGCCTCCAGTATGTGGGACACCTGTTTGGTGTGGGCAAGGCCACCTGGAGGTGTGTGAGCGGAGCCCTCCAGGACGTGCTGGGGCAGACCATGCTCTGCCTCCACATCCCCCTGGCAATGGTGACAGCGTTCTGTACACTGGGCTTCTGCCAGTGTATCAGGGCCCAGGATGGACCCACATCTGTCATTTGCCCACCCCATGGAGACTACCCGTATTACAGCCACAGAGGATTTCCCTTCATGGTCCTGCAGGCCACTGTGGACCACCAGGGCACATTCACCCACGTGAGCACTGGCTGGGCAGGCAGCATGCACAATGCTCACATCTTTTGTAACTCTGGCCTGGCGGGACTGGTGGAGAGCGGGTGCTTCATGCTGGGGGTGCTGCACCTGCAGCTGGGCACTGTCGTGGTCCCACCCTGCTCATTAGGGACCCTGCCTACCCACTCCTGTCCTGGCAGGTGTGGCCCTATACTGGCCACCTGGACCCCACCAGGCCCACTTTAATCACTGCCTGGGCCAGACCCGAGCCCTGGTTGAGTGTGCCTTCAGCCACCTCAAGGGCTGCTGGCACTGCCTCTCTGCCCACCTTGAGGTTGCTGAGGGGAACCTCCCCTGGGTCATTGTCACAGCTCTGTGAGGCCTAGGTGGAGGATGCCTGGCAGTGGGAGCGCCACCTGTGGTGACAGCGACAGTGATGGGTCCCCTCTGCCAAGGCATCAGGAGAGCCATGCACCTGCCAGTGGGGCCCAGGGCACCGGGTGCAGGAGGCTCTAGCAAGCACCTCCTCCAGCACTCCCTGCTCTAGCCCATCTGCCTTGCCACCCACACACCTCCTACCCCCTGCCCAACCCCAGCACCACACTCATGGCAGACACGTGTCCAAAGTAGAAATCTTTATTCCCCTTGCATCACACACCCCTTCCCTCCCCTCAACATACAAAACCCCCTCCTCCCTCCCTCTCTAACAAACAGAGCCCCACCACCACCCACCAACAATAAAAAACCCTCTTCCCAGTGAAAACTATATAAAAAGTGGGCGGGGGGGGCTGGTGTCCCAGAGTGGGAGGCCATGGGGTGGGGGACACCTAGGGGGCAGAGCCCAGGGGCACGCAGCCAGCACCCTGGACTCAGGCTGTTACCCCACGGGTGCACACGGCACAGCATGTGAAGGAGGTGGAGGGCTTGCCCTGGGACAATGGCGGCCACTGGTCCTCTGGCACAGGCAGCTCCCCCTCTGCCAGGGGCTGTCTGTGGTCAGCAGGGCTGGTGTAGGGTCCTGTCCCTGCTGC